CCCGAATTCACTATGAGTTTGATCCGCACAAACCCGCCGGCAGTCGAATTGATCCCAATTCCATCACAATTGGAAACAAATGTCTGGATCTGAAGGCGAAGTACAGACTTCTAACGGAGGAATTTCTGCACAAAGGAAAGGATGGCTATTATGTGCTCAAAGAGTGCGAAGTATTGATACCTAAAGAGCATTGTGTGGATGTGTTTACTTTAGTCAAGAAGTACATGGAATCGGTCGCACAATTGGCAGCCGATCCTCAGTCTGATTGCAAGACATTGGTCTGCAGTTCAGGACCGAAGACCACTGCTATAGAAATGACTGAATATTTAGATTTCGAGTTAGAATTACGAAAATTCGAGCCTAAAGTCGACGGACGTATCACTTGTTTAACTAATGTGTCAAACATATGACAAACGATTATGTGATAAAAACTACTTATTCTTTACAATATAGTATATAACAGTAAATACACCATATAATAGGAAATGCAGTATTCAATTTGTTTTAATTTTATATTTTATTTCAAATTGTTTTGCCAATTACAGTATATGTTTTCTAATTATTGCTAAAAAGTACTGTATTTTAGTTGTTCTCAAACGCTCTCTCATTGTTATCTGTATTAATACAAAGTATTGTATCACTAAATTCCCTCATTAAGACAATACTACTGTAAAATGAATTTATTTTGATATTAAGTAATGTAAGAATATATCGAGTCATTCGTACGGTAGTAATAAATGTAAATCGATAGTAATTTATTTAACTTTAACTACACTACAGAATGTCATGTTTTATAAGCAGATGTTGTATAATATTTCAAAATACCTTCATTATTGTTATGTGGTATAAATGAGGGAATCGAGAGAATTTAATTATGATATAAATATTTTACTAAAACTTTATTTGTTTGGTTTTAAAAGAATCTCATATTCTATTATATAATACTGTATATTGTAATCGAAAATTAAATAAAGATAATGAATAGATCAATACAAATATCAAACAATTAAATGAAATGAAAGATTCATATTTTGAATCAAAATGATGAGTATTTAGATGATTAAAATTAATACTGTATATTGTAATCGAAAATTAAATAAAGATAATGAATAGATCAATACAAATATCAAACAATTAAATGAAATGAAAGATTCATATTTTGAATCAAAATGATGAGTATTTAGATGATTAAAATTTGTCAGCAAATAATACCGGTATAAATAATTATAAGTAAAATGAGAAATTCTTGTGTTACCGTAATATCTAATGAGTATTTAGTGTAAAATAAGATGCCATAAAACCTTCACTTTTTAGTCTGTTTGACACAAATCGTCAAATTGAATGCTTTCATCAAATCCGATGTCTTTATTAACTCTGAGACCCAATATGTCAAACACTTTACTTGCATTTATACCGAAAGGTTCGGCGACTTTGATATCAATTAAATCTAATGACAAAACCGTTCCCTTCGATAGGAACTGTTTGGCGACAATAGATTTGCCGAGTTTTCGATAACAACTCCACTCAGACTCCTGTCTACACTTAGGTCTGTGTGGTGTGAGCGCCAGCTCTAAGTTCCTGATCTGAGTAACCATTTGTGCGAATTCTTGAGGCTCTAAAGAGCACGAGTGGTCCGTCCCTTTCATAGTCTTATCTAAAGTTAGATGTCTTTCCAACACTTTGGCGCCCAAAGCAACGGCTCCTACACTAACTTCAGTTCCTAACTCATGACCGCTGTATCCGATGACTGCCGACGGAAATAAATTCTTGTAATCAGTAATCACTTGGAGATTAATGTCTTGAAAGGGCGTCGGATATGCAGACACGCAGTGCAAGAGACACAATCTCTTATTGATTGGTGTGATTAAGTTGTAGACAGTCTTAACCACTCCCAAGTCATGCATTCCCGTCGATACAAACAACGGTTTGTCATATTTGGCGGCCTTTTCAAGCATCGGATAGTTATCGACGTCTCCGCTCCCGATCTTAATGAACGGCACATCTATTTGCGCCAAAAACTCCAATGACTTGCTGTCCATTGCAGATGCAGTGAACAAAATGTCCTCATTTTTGGCGTAATCTTTTAAGTAAAGGAACTGTTCGTCTGTTAACTCAAGAAACCTCTTGTGCTCGCCATATGTCGGACCCCAGGAATTGATGCTATCGTAGGGACGTCTCAGAGCCTTGACATTAAATTTAGACTTGAGATCACTTTTTTGAAACTTAACACAATTGGCATGAATTGTATGCTTAGATTCACTAATCATTTTCATAGCGATATTCACATCTCCGTTGTGGTTCTGACAACTCAAGAAACCTCTTGTGCTCGCCATATGTCGGACCCCAGGAATTGATGCTATCGTAGGGACGTCTCAGAGCCTTGACATTAAATTTAGACTTGAGATCACTTTT